GGGTCGCATTTTGCACCAAGTTTTTGTGGGAGATCCAGTGCCTTTTTTGTCTACCCCTGGCCAGGAGCATGGAAGAAAAAAACCAGGACCAGGTGCCATCGACACAACTGGGACACACCTGGGACACAACTGCATCATCCTTTGTGAAAAAGGCCTGTTGGTTAGTAACAAAGTACCCCTGTCATGGATTTAACTTGATTTAACCATCATTGATGTAGCTTGTAACCATCAAGAATATGGGGATATTATTGATAAATGATGGTTGGTTAATGTGTTTGCCTGCTTATTTACCTACCGGGCTTGTTGGGAACCATGAAGCAACCCACAAGAAGGATGCCTATTAACGAACCAGCATGTGATGGGATAGGGGTATTTCTCATAGCTCACCCCAAAATGGGCCAACGTTTCGAGCTTAGGAATTATGAAATAATTGGCCCAATGATTCTTAGCCGTTCTTTCAGAAATTGTTGATCTAGTTATGGCTTCAAAAATGAGGTAGCAATGGACCCACTCAATGTTTTATCATCATGGGATATCCTGAGTAACTTTGTTTTTTCCTACTGGAGCAAACACAAGAAAGGAAAAAGCTGGTTTGTTGGTTCCTGCAGAAGCTGATATCCTTTCTCTCAATACGGATTCTTACCGCAGGAACACCTCTTTACAATCTAGTGCGTCATGGGATGGGATAGTATGTCCCGTTGATCCACCTATCATCTCCATTTGGGTGGCTTTACACCCATGGTTCCTAATTTAACCCAAATGTTTGATGGTACCCAGTTATAACCAGGGGTTATTCCATATTATCGAAGGAAGTTTAGAAGTCAAACTTCCGACAATATGGAAAAGCAGAGGTGGGAAGAGCCAGAGAAGAGAAGAGAAGAAGAGAGAAGATCAGGGAAGAGAAAGAGTCAGAAGACAGAAGATGCAGGTGCGCGAAAAGGTAGCAAAGTCGCGAAACACTGTGTTTTTCAAATGATGTGTGGCTCCGGAGGGTCGAAAAGTAGGCTCGCAAGTGCATCTACTCATGTTGTCTGAAAATGGGATATCAAGCTAGAAACTGGCAGATGTGATATTATTCACATTAGGTACTAGATATGAGCATCATTATATATTTCTGAAATTTATTGATATTCCAGCGAAGTAGGTAAGCATTTCAACTCACCTATCGGATCTTAGATTTTGGTATCTCAATTGGTAGTTATACCCAACAAACCGCAACTATCCACAACTAGGCACCAGTAATAACTAGCCATAATTATAGTATAACCATCAGTTTGCTATGGTGATAGTTATGATGTCAATTGATATCAAAAACTACGTCAGCAGTAATGACTAGCCATGACTATGCATATCAACCCGTCTACGGGATGCCAAACTCACATTAGATACTAGAATATACTAGATATAACTAGCATTGGTTACCAAGTTGTATTAGTATCCCGCTTAGTAGTTAGCTATATGGCGGTTTCCTTGAATAGGGCTACCCCAGTCATCATCCATTTTATTTTCGGACTTTCCATTCTAAAACATCCAGCCATTGGGTACCAGCATTTTCGGAAACCTACAAGGCGGTACCCCCTAGTTATAAGTTAGTTTTTAATCCCCATTAACCATAGATACAACCCCCATAAACCCTAAATATTGGACTTATAAGCCAACTTAGCTATCGATGGGGCACCACCTTGTACATATCAACTCATGGGAAAGTTAGTTGACCTACTGGGAGATCAACAGCCAGGACCTTGATGCCCTACTGGCGGAGAACCGTCGCTTGAAGCAGGAGTTGTCCAGGCAGGGCGGCAGCAGGCTTCGCGATCGTTTCCCCCATCAATGGACCATTTATTGTGGTTGAAAGCAGGATATGATATATTGAGGACATATTGGGAATATAATTATATCCTCAATATAAAATAATCTGATATTTTAATATATTATGCAATTGTATATTCGGGTTTAAGCGATAGAATGGCAGATGAACCAACCAAAACAGGTATCTGAGGAAATGATAGCTACCTGGCAGAGCAAGCCCCACAAATGATGATTCAGACAAGTTCATCCGGCTATACATGTATTGCTCAGATTTTTTGTTCCTCAGCACATGTTTAGTTTAAATATGGGTTGAAACCAGCACATGGCTGGTTCATGGGTTTATTGCTTAAACGGTCCGGAACATTTCTTTGGCCATTGCCGCAAGTTGTTTGCGATGTGTACTCCTACGTACATTGATAGATTCGTAGATCGATTGATAGGTAGTCTTGGCGATGGGTCACTTATGGGACCATGGAATTGGTTTTATGGACATCAATTTAGCAGGATTTTGATCCAAACATATCCCAGTTTTGCACCCTATTGCTTGATGGTTATGATCCCATAACTCCACACAAAAAGCACCATAGATTTTGAAAAATACGAACAATCCCACAATTTCACGCAATACAAAATCCCCTTGTGTCAGTGAAATCCCTCAAATTCTCATGTCTTGTAGGTTAAGGAACCAGAAATCGGTTTTAATCTCTGGTAAAATCCCATGAAATGCTGGGATACTGATAGGATAATACTGGAAAAAGAGGATACTGAATCAAAGAAATATAGTCCTTATTTCTCAGTGAAATCCCATGAAATCCCCATATTTTCCTTGCGCCAATTTGTTTCGTTCCACAAATGACGCCAGGTTCGCCCGTCCTCAACCAGAGGCGCTTTATCGCCCGGGCGCCCTACACCAGCTGGGGGTGAACTACCCAGAGCACCAGGGTTTTGATCCCCACATTGATGACTCGTTGCTGACCCATGCTGACTGCACTCAACGTGAACACCTGAACATGGAAAAGTTGGACAGCGACAACTTGAGTTCTCCTAATGCAGGGCGGTGATAGCAATGCGACGTACTCCAATGCTTCCTGCAGATGGTGCAGTGAGGGCCCATGGAGAGCGCAACGCCCAAGGCTGCAGCCAAAAAGCCTTTGTCCCTGGATCTACGTTACTGCCGGGTGTGTAAGGAGGTGGCATACCAGGGCAAAAGCGTCTGCCTCAACGTCGACTGTGTACCTTGGTCTTTTGTTCATCATTTTTTTCAGGGACAAGGCTATGCAAGGGACTGCAGCTGTAACGAGTCTGGAACGCCTGATGAACCTGCGCCACTTCCGCCTGACTGGAGTGTGGTTGCCGGTGATGACTTCAACACCATTTCTGAGATGCTACAATCGATGATATCAACCTCCAGTGGTAGCGGAAATGCGACTTGCAGCTCGGGGAAAACAGTAACTGGATCTTCCAGCTCAGTTGCGTTTGCATCAACATTTAAAGATGAAATCAAAAAGAAAGTTGCTCCCTTGAAACAAAGCCATTGAAGATGCGAAGGGACCAGATCCAATGCTCACTAAAGTTGAATCACTGTTGGATGAAGCTATGGGAAATTGCCTATTTATGGATGACGTACCTATAAAACTTTTGAAATTGGTGATGAATCATAGCTATCTCAAAATGCCTGAGGTACCACAAAGAAGCTGGCGAAAACTCAGGGATCACTATTTTTGCCCGAAAGTGACAGATCACATCCTAGATGAGTTTTGATTTTCCACCCGCTTCTATGTTACTGAACCATTCTCATTGGTTGCCTTCATGCTTTGATATTAGATACTGGGTGTACACCCGGAATTTGCTCCCCAACTCTCCATCGATATGTCAGAGACCGAAGGGCGGTGCTTCATGTTCATTTGTTTGCTTGATATCATCTAAATCATTGTTGACAGTTTTTACCACCATGTTTGATAGCTGGTGAAACCCTTTTGTTTGGCACAAGCAATAGGAATTTTGTTTGGATGGTATTTTGCTATTGGTTTGATGGTATGACCTCAACTTTGCTACCTTTTTTGACACATTGTTATTCTTGCATATTCTGGTTGGTTAAATCTCAAGAGTGCTGATTAAGCAGAGTAAGCACCAATGCTTGATGGCTCACGCACATGTTTGATGGTAGCCACATGGTTCCCTTAGGTTCCATTTCATGGCGGTTTAAACCAATAGTGAAGTAGTTGCACAATTGTTGGATGATTCAAAGCACCATGATGGTTGAAGCCTTCCTTGATGGATATACCACTTGTTGTTGGTGAAATCCCTTTGATTGCTGGTGAAATTCCATCTGGATGGTACGACCAACATCCAATGATCGAAGGAAGTTTAGAAGTCAAACTTCCAACAATTATGGACAGATGAAAAGCAGAGAAGGGAAGAGGCAGAGAGAAGCGAAAGATTAGAAGAAAGAAGAGTAGAAGAGAAAGAGTAAGAAGAAAGAAGATGCAGATGCGAGAAAAGGTAGGAAAGTCGCGAAACACTGTGTTTTTCCAATGATTTGGGGCTCCGGAGGGTCGAAAAGTAGGCTCGCTAAAGCGGCGGGTGCGGAGCCAGCTGGCCACATGAGAGATGAAAAATTGCACGCCTTTGCAAGTCAAAATGTACAAAACACCTGGGTCGCGGACCACTTTTGGAAGTTGAGATGTCGAAAAAGTGCACGCCGTTGTAGCGCGAAGCACATTTGCAAGCCAAAATGCACAAAACACGTCAGTGTCGGACCGCTTTTGGAAGTTGAGATGTCGAAAAAGTGCACGCCGTTGTGGCGCGAAGCACATTTCGAAGTCAAAATGTACAAAACAGACCAGGTCCGGACCACTTTTGGCAGTTGAGATGTCGAAAAAGTGCACGCCGTTGTGGCGCGAAGCACATTTTGAAGTCAAAATGTACAAAACGCACCATTCTCGGACCACTTTTGGAAGTTGAGATGTCGAAAAAGTGCACGCCGTTGTGGCGCGAAGCACATTTTGAAGTCAAAATGTACAAAGCACACCATTCTCGGACCACTTTTGGAAGTTGAGATGTTGAAAAAGTGCACGCCGTTGTGGCGCGAAACACATTTCCAAGTCAAAATGTACGAAACACCACATGTTCGCGCCACTTTTGGAGGTTCAGATGTCGCTTCGCTTCACTACACTACATTACACTACACTCCACTACACTGCACTGCACTACACTACACAACATTACACTATACTACTACACTACCTTCCACTACACTTCACTACATTACACTACACTCCACTACACTACAACTACAACTACGAATACACAACTACACTCCACTACATTCCACTACACTAAATTACACTACACTACATTACACTACACTACACTACATTCCACTACACTCCAATACACTACATTACACTACACTACATTACACTGAATGACACTGCACCACAGATAGACAGGTCGACAGATAGACAGACAGACAGACAGATAGATAGGTAGATGGATGGATAGACAGGTAGACTGATAGACAGATGAAAGAGAGAGAGAGAGAGATAGATAGATAGATAGACAGAATAGAATAGAATAGTATAGTATAGTATAGAATAGAATAGAATAGATAGGTAGTTAGATGAAAGAGAGAGAGAGAGAGAAAGAGATAGATCGATCGATCGATAGATAGATAGATACATAGAAAATAGGTTGGTAGGTAGGTAGATAGTCAGAGAAAGAGAGAGAAAGAGAGGAGACCTCAAGCACCTTTCCGTCCATCAGTGGATTCGCTCTCTGCCATCCCTGATTCACAACAACCAATCTCTCCTATAGGTTTCCTATTTTTGAAACTTCCGCCACCGCCTTGTGCGGTACTACTGGTAGGACTTACTGCTTAAAGGTCCATGATCCACGGCAATGGGGGTCATTAAAGTCCCATTTTGATCCTTTTTGATGATGTACCAGTTGTGATTGACATGACAACATGTTCGATGATGAAATCCCTTCAGATCTACCATGTTTGATGCTATCAACTCCTTTTTTGGATGGTATCCACTGCAATATCAGTATCCCAAGTCACCATGGGTTTCAATAGGAAAATGGTCTACCTTGGATGATTTGGGGGTTACTTCATGCCTTGGGAAACCGAAATTTGGTGATCTCCCAGTCAGGTCCCCCCTGGCAGCCGCAGCCCGCGCAGCCGCGACGGAGACGAGCAGCTGGGCGAAATGGATGAGTTGGTTGGTTACAATATTTGACTATGGTTACAGTTAGAGTTATGGTTACACTATAATCTGTAGTTATACGGGTTGGCTATGATTGGACCATAGATTCTAGTTGACTATGAATGCTTGATTGACTATAATAGTTGGGGGTTGAGTATGATATTTTAGTTGGGGATTGCTTATGATCGTCAACTATGATTTGGCCATACAGTTGATAACCGATGATGGTTGATTGAATTGTATGGTGTTTTTTCCAAATGGGGAAGACCAAGTTATCGTTCAAAACCGTGATTGTTTTGCATAGGAAAACAATTTAACAATTGGTTTGGGGGTCTCCAATTTCAGAAAACGCCATATAACCGGAGTTATCATGGGGATTTAATTATCATTATCAGTGATGAATGCTATCAAAATGATTTCACAATATCGTTGAGGTCAAGATTTTTTAAGTGGAATAGCATCCCCTCAACCACCAGGTCCTGCGAAAGTTGAAATAGTAGGGTGTTTTCTCCATCGCTGAAAACTGAGCATTAACCTACTGAACCTAAGTACTACTATAGCATCTATGACTTTTAAGTGCTAGGATTTGCGGATTTGCTAAATCCCAGGGTGCCGGATGTGTCGATGGGTCATGTCACATGGTTTTGACTTAGCCCCATGGGGAAAGGAACCAACACTCCAAGCTGAGATTATGCCTCATGGGCCATGTCTTTCAGATTGGCAGGATGAATATTGCTCAATGACACATGGCTTTGTTTGAAAACTGAGCACATACCCAGTTCCTATGGATGATCATCATGTCCCATCAAATTGGATGAGGCTTTCCTATAGGGGTACCCCTAAATCATCCAATTCATTTCATCACAATCATCGTAAGATGTTCCATGATCAACTCTGATAATCAATCCTTTTTGGTGCCCCTTGAGAACTCTTGGAGAAATGCCCCGATAGAAGGTGTCCTCCGATGTCAACGAGGTCCATTCTGGGTCGGGCGAGGTCATGCGGCGACATGGCCTGAAAGTGACACCCCCAAAAAAAAATAGTTTTATCAGGAATGTCACTTTCAATGATGATTAAAGGGTCATTCATAATTGTTTTAATCATCATATTCTTTTATCACCGCATTAGTCAATGTCATCCCCTTGATTAGAGGGTGATCAATGCGGTTCTTTTGGGGTATATTTATAAATCCAAGTTGAAGCGGCACACCATGGTTAAAAGCCAAACAATAAATGGATGGCTGTGGGATTTCCATGTTTGATCGGTTGGTCACAAAAATCGGGCAACCTCACAACGGCCTGTGGCAACATGGGGGTGAAAACATGTATCACTGGAGAATAGTTGGAATTCGCCCAGATGATTTGCAGAACATATCATATCTATGCTCGAAGGTTAGCAAGGGAAATCATGCCAAAATGACCTTGTTTCAGGTTGTTGCATTACTATCCTTGCCTCACATTAGAGATTGTTTCGTTGTTGGATAGGTAGATGTTTAGTGGGTGCTCCTGTCAATTGATTTGATATCCCTGCCAGGCCGGGGTGATCAATCCGGGATTTTGATCGTTGGTTTTGATCTTGGGTCCTTTTTCTTTGTTTGCCATCAATGGATATACATGGGGATATGTATACCCAGCTGAAGAATTATACTCCCTGCAGGGTATCCAAAATTGGTGGATGTAATCCTGCGAGGCAACGCAATTGCCGGCAGCTGGGTTGCAACGCGCGGTTCATCAAGATGCATGATTTTGATGAGACTGGAATTAGTTGTAACCGGTCATCAAATCCCAGCATGATTTTGCCATTGGAGTAGCAGTAACGTAAGATAACCTTTGGGGTGTCGAACGACCAACGATTTTAGTGCGCTCCAGCTGAGGCATTGGCACCAGGCTATCCTTCCCTGAGGCCGGGTCAATGGATATCTCGTCATCCGTAGATCTATGAAAAAGTCATAGATATCACGGAAATGTGGAGATATCTTTCAGAACATTGTGGTTTTTCTATGGTTTTTCGGATGAAGATAGATTCATCAACCACTGCCTGGGTTTCCTTTTTGAATCCCAGTGCAGCACTTGTGATTCCCGGGTAGACGGAAACCAGCCATATCGATGTGAACCAAGAACTGAGAGGGGAAACCAATGCTAGATCTACGGCAAATACACCCAAGTTTATTGAAGAGATATCCACCTTTGGTGCTTCAAACCGCTCGGATTTTCCGAATACCTCGGAGCCCGATGTCAAAACTGCACTCAGATCTCCAGCATGTGACGGCAACCTGTAGGTCTCTGAATCGCAACTGAAATTGATGATCTTCGATCCGAATCCCAACCATAGAACCATTGGATACCATTGGTATTCTCACCCACAAAAACGTGTCCACATCTGTAGATTACCTCTTGAAACCGATGGTTTTTCCATGGACCAGATTGGACTACTGGACCGAATCGCAGGTTCTCCCCTGATGACGTCCCAAGCACTAAGGGCTTCATCAAAACCATGGTGAAATTGGACACCTTTTCATCAGGACACTTAGTGATGCTGCAAGTGCCTTAACATTCACAATCTCTGTACAATACGTGGCTGCAACAGACAGGCCCCATTGGAATGTCCACTGGTGAATCATCATTTTCCCCATCGAAATGGCTACGTACAAATGGAGGGGTGGTTATAGTTCCCTCCATGATATCACCATGTATTGCTGCTTTTATCCCCATTTATTGTTGTATAAACAGTATGGGTTTGTCCAAAAATCGTGTGCCCCAAAATCCGCTGCTTCATAATGCTTCATAATCGTTTTCCCTTTAAAGATGGCGATTTGGGAAATGGTATACATCCAAATATCATATCAAGTTGATGATGTAGAAACATGAGATCCCTATTTTTGTTGGCTTGCCCCCACCCCCATTGTTGTTGGGTAAATCCCCCATTGCGGTTGGGCCGAAGCAACCAGGAAATCGGTGGCTCAGTCGTTGCCGGCACTGAGGAGATCCACCAGTCCCATGGCCAAATGGAAGCGGGGGAGATGGCCCAACCATCTGCAACTTGATGGTGCTTTTCTAGGTGAATCGTAGGTATGGGACAGGGAACCGTGGCGTGGGAAGTTAATGTGATCATATGTGTTCTGACGTCGCTGTGGTGGCAGAAATTTCACCCACAACGTTCACTTCTTATCATCGCTGGAGGCATCCAACGTAAGACCGGTAGTTCTACTTGTGGCTGAAGCCCAACTGTGAAATTTCAAGTCGCAATTGGCAGATTATATATATGTATATATGTATGGTGTTTGATGTGCCTGGTTTCTGGTTCCAAACGATGTTCATCCTCCCGAGTCAGATGGCAATGGGTCACAAGCCTCAAACCCCTGTAGTTTTTTCAGGTCCGATTGCTGACCTCCGGCGGTGTTTTCTGAGCGCAGGCAGGAGATGCGAAGATTCCATGCCGTTCATCCAGAAATTATGGCCCTTTATTGCTATTTCAAGGGACAAAGCCATATTTCAGCTGAAATAAGCATCCACAGTTGAACCCCTCGTGGTGAACCAATTCATTTTTTGGTGGATGGTACCCTCCGAGATCCTCCGAACTACCATTTGCCAGCCAGCTTCGTGGTAAGAGGGGAATTCACTGAAAAAGTTGCTCTGGTGGTTTGATTGACACTTTTCTTTGGGCTGCGCTTGGGAAGCTCCCGCATTCCTATGTAAAAGATCCTTTAATAATGGTCCTGATCCAACAAAAGATTGTGCTATATCCATATTGTTGCTTATTTTCTCATTGCTGTTTATTTCATAGTAAGCAATCGCATTTTTGGCCATCGACACAGGGCCTTAACATGCATTGCAGAATCATTCAGAATCTCAGGCGCTCCTCATGTCTTTTTTGTGCCATGATGAAGTTACATGGGTAAAAAAAATCTGGTTTTTCGTCCTCCGTCGTTGGAAATGCGTACAATGGGTTGCCGAAATCCCTATGAAAATGGATGGATTGGATGGATTGGAATGATCATCCCCAAAAACCCTCAGGGGCATCGCGAGCTTTTGAGCAGTTGGATGTGGCTTTGGCGCACCCGAGAGTTTTCAGGAAAGTCTGCATGGCGAGTGGTGACTGAATGATGCCATGTCCGAAAAACGAACCTTTTCTTCAGGGGAATCTATGGTTGGCTATGCAGATAGTTCAGAAAATGACTGCCCAAGCAGACATGCCATGTATGACTTGGTTTACCAAGAAGCAATTGAAACGGGTATGGATCAAAAGCTCAAATTCCTTGGCCAGATAGATAGCCAGAGGATGACGATCTTGTCTACACTGTTACCTGCAAATCTTGAGTCCAGGTTGCTCACTACGGGCCGAGCTGCCAAGGCATGTATAGGCATGTTTAAGGCTATCGGTTTCATCCTTTCAGTAACATGGACCCCACAGAGGACCCAGTCGCCAGTGGGTTAAGCCGGATGCATTTTGCTCATGACTTTTCGGCCATCGAAAAATTCGAGTGGCTTTTGGGGATCCCATTCTGTACCATCTTGGATCGTGTTCCCATTCCCATGACCCTTCCGAACCAGCTCTACTGAGGTCAATCGAACTGGCTTCCTGAATTTCCATGATTTTCAGCGCGCGTTCCTTGGCGCCTGAGGAAACCCCGCTCCTGATCCTGCAAATGTTACCCCACCATCTGATGGCCGAAATCAGGCTTGGGATCATATAGATGAGTTATGAATAGTTGTGAAACATCCACATGTGTCTTGAACATGAACCACCATGTTTGATGTTTTAACCTCCATTTTGAAGGTCTTGAATTCCATGTGTGCTGCTTAAGCCACGCTCTTGAAAATTCAATGTTTCTCCTCGTTAAACCATCAGTTTTTGTTGCTTGGTTCCTTAAACCTCAATTTTCAGTAAAACCCCATTCTTGAGTTAAATATGCTAAATCCATCCATATCCCCTGATTTCCGAAATCTCCTGGTTTTGTCTATAAAAACCCATGGCATTTTGGCCGTGAACAGAATCCCAGGGTGGAGGCCTCCGACGCCGGCTTTGAGCCGCACCTGGGAGCAATCGGGGGGAATCCAAAAATAGCTGGCGTATCGCATTGGAATGGTGATTAACTTGGAATAATGGTCATTTAATGGTGATTTAATGGTGATTAACTTGGAATAATGGTCACGTCATGGTCATTGAATGGTGATGAACTCGGAATAATGGTCATTTCATTGTTATTTAATGTGGTTTGATTGGTTTTTCATGGGATTTTTTGGGGTTTTAATGGGATTGAATGGAGTCAACTATAGTAATGTTAGTAAAACAATAGAATCACAAATTTGCCATAAGTGGGTGGTATAAACCATCAAAATATGAGTGGTTGATGACATTGCTTTACGAACATTGATGGTGATTGACTAATCATCAATAGTTAGGGTATTGCTTGGTAATCACTATAACTAATCATTTTTAAAGGGGTATTCCTAAATCCCTGAACAATCCCATTTAAGTGATTCATACCTATATTATGTGAGATATTTCTAGTGACTATCATTAACCATTAACCACTATAATCACCATGGGTTTTGAAGAGGATATTGCAGAGATCACGGGACTATTCATCAACAGATACCAGTAGTACCGCACAAGGCGGTGGCGGAAGTTTCAAAAATAGGAAACCTATAGGAGAGGTTGGTTGTTGTGAATCAGGGATGGCAAAGCGAATCCACTGATGGACCGAAAGGTGCTTGAGGTCTCCTCTCTGCCTCTCTCTTTCTCTGACTATCTACTTACCTACCAGCCTATCTTCTATGTATCTATCTATCTATCGATCTATCTATCTCTCTCTTTCTCTCTTTCATCTCATTACCTATCTACCTATCTACCTACCTACCTATCTACCTATCTACCTATCTACCTACCTACCTACCTATCTATCTATCTCTCTCTCTCTCTCTTTCATCTGTCTATCTGTCTAGCTCTCTACCTGTCTATCTATCCATCTATCTATCTATCTATCTTTCTATCTGTCTATCTGTCTATCTGTGTACCTGTCTATCTGCGGTGCAGTGTCATTCAGTGTATTGTAGTGTAGTGTAGTGGAGTGTAGTGGAATGTAGTTGTAGTGTAGTGTAATGTAGTGTAGTGTAGTGTAATTTCGTGTAGTGGAGTGTAGTTGTGTAGTCGTAGTTGTAGTGTAGTGGAGTGTAGTGTAATGTAGTGAAGTGTAGTGGAAGTAGTGTACTGGAATGTAGTGTAGTGGAGTGTAGTGTAGTGTAATGTAGTGTAGCGTAGTGTAATTTAGTGTAGTGGAGTGTATTGTAGTGGACTGTAGTTGTGTAGTTGTAGTTGTAGTGTAGTGAAGTGTAGTGGAATGTAGTGAAGTGTAGTGGAAGGTAGTGCAGTGTAGTGTAGTGTAGTGGAGTGTAGTGTAGTGTAATGAAGTGTAGTGTAGTGTAATTTAGTGTAGTGGAGTGTAGTTGTGTAGTTGTAGTTGTAGTGTTGTGTAATGTAGTGTAGTGTAGTGGGGCGTAGTGTAGTGGAGTGTAGTGTAGTGTAATGTAGTGTAGTGTAGTGAAGCGAAGTGACATCTGAACTTCCAAAAGTGGTCCGAACCCCTGGTGCTTTTAACATTTTGACTTTGAAATGTGCTTCGCGCCACAACGGCGTGCACTTTTTCGACATCTGAACCTCCAAAAGTGGCGCGAACATGTGGTGCTTTGTACATTTTGACTTCGAAATGTGCTTCGCGCCACAACGGCGTGCACTTTTTCGACATCGCAACTTCCAAAAGTGGTCCGACAATGGTGTGTTTTGTACATTTTGACTTCGAAATGTGCTTCGCGCCACAACGGCATGCACTTTTTCAACATCTCAACTTCCAAAAGTGGTCCGAACCCCTCAGTTTTTAACACATTTTACTTCCAAATGTGCTTCGCGCCACAACAGCGTGCAACTTTTCATCTCTCATCTCCCCAGATGTCTCCGCACCCGCCGCTTTAGCGAGCCTATTTTTCAACCCTCCGGAGCCACAAAACCACGAAAAAACACAGTGCTTCGCGACTTTCCTATCTTTTCGCGCACCTGCATCTTCTTTCTTCTGATCTTTTCTCTTCTGACTCTTCTCCCTGCTGACTGCTTTTTCATCTCTCCATATTGTCGGAAGTTTGACTTCCAAACTTCCTTCGATCAATAGATATATTTAAAGGCTGGTCCATGGTTTCCAATATGTGGTTTGACCATGCAAAAGGCATGGTTGAGGTGACGAGCATATTTTTGAAAGAGATTAAAATCACCAACCAGAAGGGAGATATCATGGGAGTATTAACAAATCAAGCTGCACTATTGCGGATTATGGTTCCATTTTGGGTGGACCTGACCGAAAGGAATGTTGCAAGTTTGGCTGTCTTAGTTGCAAAATGGAAGTTAATCAACTTATTTTCGGGGAGTTCACAATCAAATTTGGAGGGCTTAACGTGTGGTCCAACCAAAAATCAACAGCCCTGCAATGCGACTGAACCCATGTTGCTATGAATAGACCGGAGTCCGGCGCCGATCGCCATCGTCTCAACCAAGAGGGACAAACTGCTCCTCAGAACATGGGTCGCTTTGCGGACACCACACTACGGAGAATTCCTTTTTGGTGTTGCTGAGCGTCATTTTTCGGTGGAGCGTGTGAGCCAGCACGGCAAGCAACATTGGCAAACGTGCAGGACTTTCTATGGAACATGGCAAGCAATAGGTGCCTTTGGTCCCTGGAGCAGAGGAGGATGTCAAGGTTTGTACAATCTGGTATACCCAGTGACGACCCATATCTAATTTACCCAAGTTTTGCCACTTCAAAATAGACCTGCGGTGGGATCACTGCACCCAATGATGTTCAAACCTCAGCTGGGCTCAGGGCTGCATCCTAATCAGATATTCGGGCAAAATGGGGTGTATCTTAGTGATAAATATCCAGATTTTTTGGATGAATCTGATGATGATCGATGAGTGTAGCGAACCAGTCCTAAACACTAATTATCATTAATCATTAATCATCATTGAATCACCATAATCACTATGACTCCCATAGGTTCTTGGAAACTCATCTCCCACTCGTCTTTGTGTTTGAGGTCATTGATCGTAGAGGTTTTTGGTGCATTGGCAGCGGATGGGCAGCTCTCCATTGCGACACTTGAATTGTGCAAGGGATGATGGTTGCGCCGGGTAGTCCTGGGTGGTTGAGAACCTGTGATGATCCATCGAAAATCGTGTTGAAATGTGGAGCTTTCCCAAGTTTTTGGCAGAGACTGATTGGGATGTTCTTCACATACTGGGATTTGAGCGTTCAAAATGGTGAGTTTTAGCATCAAAACTAGGGACTTACCCATACCGGGCATGGAAAATTGGTAACCACAGAGATTTGGACATCAAAGCCTTGGGCAAATCTTCATGTTTCATCCGACGTTTTCAAGTGGGTATGGTAAGTATGGTAGGATACAAAGAATGTGTTGGCAATTTGATTGAGCTAGATCTCGTTGCGACAAGCACTCGATTGAAATATTGAACCTACCAGCAGTGTGGATGCTGAAACAAATGTCACCACCCATACCCAGCCAATGTTCCCTGGGAACTCTGGCGAGTTAGCAGCCCTGCAGCCATTGGGGGCTGGAAATTTCACCGAAAGCCCTGCATTCGTTTCATGAACCTTTCATGGTACCTGACGCTGCTCACTGCTCACGCTGCTCAGCTAAGCGCAGCGTATGACGAAGATGTAGAGCCTTGATGGCATTGGTGAAGGCCACCAGAGCCGCGCGGTCTTTTGTCTAGGTGGTACCCCGCAGGAATAAGTTGGTTTATAATCCCCAATTTGCTATAGAAATCGCAATATACCCTAGTAAATCTTGTACCTTATTATTAATGTCGGTAAAACAATGCCATAAACCACCCATTTGGGAATGGTAACACCTGGGGGATGGTTTATGGCATTGTTTTACTCAGATTAATATAATATGTCGAAACCGACCACATCGCCAAGGAGACCTCGCATTGCGTGGATCTGCTCCAAACGGCCTCGGAGCTGCGAACACGGCCTCGGCTCGCAGGAAGCAGAGCCTACCGACAGGAGCTGAGAAATTTGGATGATGCGGCCTATGTGGCGGAGATACAGGTTCCTTGTGTGACGGTAAATTTTTAGGGTGTTTGCCGATACTGGAATTAAAGATGTATGTCTATTACATATATATATATTATACATGTTACATATGTGAACTAGTGGATAATATAAATGTATATATGGTATATTGATTCAAGAAGGCTTCAGGTTTTTTACACGGGTCTATCTTGGGCAGGGTGACCCTCCAGGTGTTGATAAGTTTGAGCCCTGTCCTGAGGTCGGTCAGCAAAATTTTGACGCCATCCTCGACTCTGGCTCTTTCGAATTAGTGATCTTCACCCGCGACTGTCACGTGGCGTGCAAGGCCCCTGGTGACATCCAAAAAAGATGGTCCTATTTTTTGTGGAAATCCCCTATATAAACCATGGTTTTTTGGGAAGTGTCTGATATTAGAGGGAATGGATTACTGTATTTTTTTAGTGGAAGATACAGTGGAACTGTGCCTTTAAAGATTTGAGTTTTTACTGAAGGTGACTCATCCCTTCAATGCGACGTACAGCATTGACTGCAACTCATATGACATGCAACTCTTTGCTCTTGGGGTTCCTTGGACCGAGAAGATTGTCTCAAGTGAGAAGTTATTTCAGGAGGCTGTTTCAGCATCAAAACAGAGAATCTACCTTTGGTTGGTGGTTTCAAGCCCCTTTCGTCTTCAGCCAGATGATGATTGTTTCATATTCTTCGGGGTGGCTCAACCACCATCCCAACATCCATATCTCATACAGTGTGGTGAGCCCAACAACGAAATTCTTGTGGAGAATGGTTTCTAATATTCCAAGTGCTAAATTTTGCCAAATTGTAAGGTATTGTTTTTAAGTCGGTGTATCTCCACCAAAAGTGGGTTTTTCAGTAACAAGTCCCCATAAAATCACCCTTAAATTCCATGAAATCACCATGAAATCCCATGAAATCCCATCAACTTCCATTAAATCGCCAGTTTTGTTGGTGAAACCCACCACAAAAACCAATCATTCGTTGATGATCCCTCACCTTAGGCGCTGGTTGCGGCATGGCTGGGCATCAGGGCTACGACCCCAAGCGAAGCCAGACCTTTGCGAAGGGCCGGTTGGTGCAGGTACAACAGGGTCAGGTTGGCATCGGAAAAATCATGCGTTTTGCATCATTCTTGGGTGTACCCTCTGGTAATTTAACATAGCTATAGAAAATCACCATGGTTAATAGGTAAACCATCGACCTAAATGGGCCATTGTCCAGTTCGCAAGCTGTAAACGTTTACCAGAGGGTAAATCCTAATGGATAGATGGGGGATTTAATGGAATGTGATGGTGATTTGGGGTGTGGGATAGAACTAATTGCGATATGTCATGGTGATTCGATGGACAACAGGGATATTTCATCTGATGTTTGCTGGGATATCGCCAACTATAAGTAACTAACAAGGGAAAATGGTGAGTAAACATCAAAACATCATGGATGATGGGTGTATGGTGGTTTAATCAACCAAAATGGTGATTGAATGGAAGGTTGTGGGATCTCATAATGATTTAATGCAATTTCAATGGGCAAATCCTAATGCCGATGCAATGGAAACGACAGGTCCATGGTCTTTATTTGCCCGTTGGTTGTTTTGCAGTTGTGACGTTTCAGATGTTGTTCAAAACACGAATTCCGCTGTGACTCACCGTCATTGAGGAATGAAATCATTTATCATCGCAGTTATCGACTCGTAATTATACCCTGTTGCGTCCACAAAAAACTTGATTTTGGGAACCCCCAAACTACTTCGAAATTAACATCTAAAGTCTATGTTCTCTCGTGTTTTTTCACAGCTTCTCTAACTGCAAGAACTCGGTGTCCAAGCTTTGACGCCGTCGGTAAAAAGTGATACCGAAGAAATGTCCACTTGGGAAGCAGCATATGGTGTCTGAAAATGTCGTGTACCCCTAAACCCAATGGTTTTGCTGATCATTATCCCGTTTTTAAATGGCTATTTGTTTGGGAATATACCCTATTTTCAGACACACCCATATTCAGCCGTCAAATCCAACTGAGACGATCATACCCCGTACACGTTACCGCTGACGGCAGCGTGAGGAGCTGAGTTATGGCAGCGGCGATGCCTTGTGCAGCAATGCCTTTGATCGTCTCGATGCTTGGCTTTTGACACATCCTTTGCGTTGCAAAGTGAGGGCTACCCCAAAACTGCCATGTTGATACAACATATAGAAATATACTATCAATATGCTATCTATGATGTTGATTAGATAATGATATTTGGATCATGATATTTATGATATTGCCATGTTGAGACAAGAAATCTGAAAAAAAAATGGATGGTGGATGAATCCTCTCTCTGGTGAGGACATTGGCCCAGAGGAGAACGGACTGCATGTGGAGCGACAACCCATCTGGCTGGTGGAGAAGGAGGGGATGTGGTGAATCTGGGTCAACTTCTGGTTGCAATGGATGATTTATGGCCATGATGCGAAAGTATGGATACATATTAAGGTATAGATGGGCAAATTGTTTAAGCAGCTAGAAACTATAGTTTTTCTTGCACGCTCCCCCAAGATTAGCCACGGAATTTCTGCCAGCAAATTTGAGAAGGTATAACACCATCTGGAAATATCTACATTGATCAGGGGGCACCTTAGTGATCTTGCCAGGCACAGATGGAGATCTTGGAGAACTCCCGTTTCCAAGCAATTTTGGGTATTGGACCACCAACCGTTGCTTGGCACTGCTGGCACAGCCAGAGTGGAAGGGAGACATTGAGACTCTTTCTTTCCACTCTTTCCAAAGCAAAATGGGTCAGTTTCGCTGTGAGGCGGTGAAGCAGCAGGCGAAGAATGATTTGAAATATCTGCAGTCCTTGGACAACAAGTTGAAGGACTGGAACGTCACCGTTCCTGCCAGCATCAAGAGTTCCTTGGAAGTCTGGGAGATTTGGGGCGGGTGCATGACGCAGTTGGGAACACCTCATTTTGACGATGATCGTCGCGTTGCTTGACTGCCAGGTCATATGGAGTCCAAGAAGACAGCTGACTTTTTGTTGGGAAATTTGGATGAACCTTGGTGAATTGCGAGGCTAACTTACACCTATAAAATTCGCCACACAGTCTTGCTCTCGAAATCCTTCCATCCAATCTATTGGTAATTGATTGGATCTTGCTTCCTCTAGACATTGAATATGCAGAAGAATTACTTCGATCCAAAGATAGGAGGGACAGTGGATTCCACTAGCAGGACATCCATGTTGTTTTTTCCTGCGATCATCGGATTGTCTCAACTTCAGTTGGGAACCACTCACGGATTTCAGCTGTGCTCGGAAGTGCAATCATCAAACAGCTCTCCCGTTGGTTGAGGGAGATGTTGTAGGAAACCCCTGCACATACCATATACATTCATATACCATATATATATATATATTTACTGTACATAGCTATTTTTATAGTTATTTTTAGATTAAAAATTTACAGATCTACTGGAAAAAGCCTCCCATCTCCATCAGGACAACGTCCCAGAAAATCTGCAGCTGCAGTTTCTGTCGATCTGCTTGCGCGCTGCCAGCGGCTCCAAAGGTGTGGCCGTTTGGCACGATGCCGATCCCAGGCACCGGTCGCCCTTCAAGCGGCTGGCGGTCATTGGGAAGCTGGGTTGAGATGCTATCTTCCCTTAAAGATGTGTGGAAGTGGATAAATTTGTGATAAAGAAGTGAGAAACTGGAATGAAATCTGGAAGTATCCCCCTCCCCCTTTTCTGAAGTTCGTCGTTCGTGTGATAAATGAATTCTGAAAAAAAAACTTGACATGCCTTGACTATGTCAAAGAGGATGACTTCTGGGTCAGCAATGCTTAAAAAAGTTGCTCCCATTTTGAACACCGAGGAAGATCACCTGGGGATTGTCCTTGAAGAACGTGCATCTGGTGTCGAAGGGCCAACGGATTCCCATTGCATGTGCTGATGGCTGCGGAGCAGTCCTGGACACCGGAACGTCGTTGATCACGGCTCCCAAGCGCTGCAAATAGTCGATTCGGAGGGAGAAATCGGTGGCAAGTGGAGTGGAGCCCACCGATATCTTAGATAACATAGACCCGGGCAAGCCGGCGGCGGAAGTTTCCCAAACATAAATGACCTATAGTTCAAAGACACCCTGTCCCGACCGTGTCCCTCCCTCGACAACCGTTTGATTTTTTCAGCGAGAGACAAAGCAAAGTCTTCACACTCCACACTTTTCACTGCACTCTTCGCACTCCGAACTTGAAACTTCACACTCCAAACTTCACACTTCGCACTTCACACTTCACACTTCTCACTTCCCACTGCTTCCTTCACACTCCAAACCTCACACTTCACACTTCACACTTCACACTGCACACTTCACACTTCACAGTCCACACTTCACACTTCACACTTCACAGTCCAAACTTCACACTTCACACTTCACAGTCCACACTTCTCACTTCGCACTTCACACTTCACACTTCACACTCCACATTTCACACTTCTCACTTCTCACTGCTTCCTTCACACTCCAAACTTCACACTTCTCACTTCGCACTTCACACTCCACACTTCACAGTCCGCACTTCACACTTCTCACTTCACACTTCTCACTTTTCACTGCTTCCTTCACACTCCAAACTTCACACTTCTCACTTCGCACTTCACACTCCACACTTCACACTCCACACTTCACACTTCTCACTTCTCACTGCTTCCTTCACACTCCAAACTTCACACTTCTCACTTCGCACTTCACACTCCACACTTCACAGTCCACACTTCACACTTCTCACTTCTCACTGCTTCCTTCCCACTCCAAACTTCACACTCCAAACTTCACACTTCACACTTCTCACTTCGCACTTCACCCTCCACACTTCACTCACACTTCACACTTCACAGTCCACACTTCACACTTCTCACTGCTTCCTTCACACTCCAAACCTCACACTTCACACTTCCACTTCACACTGCGCTCTTCGCACTCCACACTTAAACTTCACACTCCACACTTCACACTTCTCACTTCCCACTGCTTGCTTCACACTGCACACTTCACGCTGCACTCTTCACGCCCCACGCTTCACACTGCTCTAAACCTACGTGCAACAAAAAACACTAGCGCCAAAATGGAGAAAATCTGCTAACAAATCCATTTCGCAGCCTTCATGCAGCCAGTCCAAGACGATGTACGAGATCCAGCTGCAAAAGACATTACGCATGCAGCCAAAGCAAGAAGCAACCTTGACGCAGCCATTCCAATGCGATCTGCGGAGACTGAGTTGCAAAACACAAGAGAACTACGCGCAATGGCATCGCAAATTGTAGCTCCAAAACCGGATCTCGACGCCAGAGCGAAAAAAAGACGATTTTGAAACTTTGAACCACTTTTTAAAAGGATTTTTAGAAGGAAAATCACTAGCGCCAAAATGGAGAAAATCTGCTGACAAATCAGTGTCGCAGCCTTCATGCAGCCACTCCAATACGATTTACGAAGTCCAGCTGCAAAAGACAATAGTATTACGCATGCAGCCACAGCATGAAGCAACCTTGACACAGCCGTTACAATGCGATCTGCGGAGACTGAGTTGCAAAACACAATAGAACTACGCGCAACGGCGTCGGAAATTGTAGCTCCAAAACCGGACGGATCTCGACGCCAGAGCGAAAAAAAGACGATTTTGAAGCACTTTTTAAAAGGATTTTTAGAAGGAAAATCATTAGCGCCAAAATGGAGAAAATTTGCTAACAAATCCATGTCGCAGCCTTCATGCAGCCACTCCAATACGATTTACGAGATCCAGCTGCAAAAGACAATAGGATTACCAATGCAGCCACAGCACGAAGCAACCTTGACGCAGCCATTACAATGCGATCTGCAGAGACTGAGTTGCAAAACACAATAGAACTACGCGCAGCGGCGTCGGAAATTGTAGCTCCAAAACCGGATCTCGACACCAAAGCGAAAAAAAGACGATTTTGAAGCACTTTCTAAAAGGATTTTTAGAAGGAAAATCACTAGCGCCAAAATGGAGAAAATCTGCTGACAAATCACTGTCGCAGCCTTCATGCAGCCACTCCAATACGATTTACGAAGTCCAGCTGCAAAAGACAATAGTATTACGCATGCAGCCACAGCATGAAGCAACCTTGACGCAGCCATTACAATGTGAGTTGTGCAAAACACAATAGAACTACGCGCAACGGCGTCGGAAATTGTAGCTTCAAAACCGGATCTCGACGCCAGAGCGAAAAAAAGAAGATTTTGAAGCACTTTTTAAAAGGATTTTTAGAAGGAAATTCACTAGCGCCAAAATGGAGAAAAAAAACGCATTTCGTGCGAGACTTCCTTCAAAACTCCATCGGCAAGTCATCCACCAGCACCACTTGCAATCCCATTTACATTGCGGGAACGATCCTACAGTTGCAAATCACAATGGAATTCTGTCGACCGCACATGCACGAAAAACACTTGAAACCCCATTTACAATGCGGAACCGATCCGACCATGATCCGACCATGGTCCGAGAATGATCCGAGCCTGATCCGAAAAAAAAACAAAAAAAAACCACACACGAGACCGTCTCGCAACCGTCGCACCGTCAGAGGTAGATCATCGGGTTCGGGGACGGACTTTGTATGGAAAAACATTTTTGCTATTTCCTTTTTTCTTTGCTCTTCTGTCTCTCTCCCCCCCTTCCCTTTCTTTCTATCCTGAGTTCCTTCCACCCACATCGGCAACTCCTCCCACCAGCACCACTTGCAATCCCCTTTAACAGACAGTGGACAGTGGGGGGAGGGAACGACCTAGAGTTCAAAATCAAAAACCAATGGAATTCCATCGGCAACTCATCCACCAGCACCACTTGCAACCCCATTTACAATGCGGGAACGATCCTACAGTTGCAAATCACAATGGAATTCTGTCGACCACACATGCACGAAAAGCAGTTGAAACCCCATTTACAATGCGGAACCGATCGGAGAATGATCCGAGAATGATCCGAACATATCCGACCACACACGAGACCGTCTCGCAACCGTCGCACCGCAGAGGTAGATCATCGAGGTTCGGGGACGGACTTTGTATGGAAAAACATAAGGTTTCGTGCATCTGCTATCTCTCAAAAACGCATTTCGTGCGAGACTTCCTCCAAAACTCCATCGGCAACTCCTCCACCAGCACCGCTTGCAATCCCATTTACAGTGAGGGAACGATCCTAGACTTGCAAATCACAATGGAATTCCATCGGCAACTCATCCACCAGCACCACTTGCAATCCCATTTACATTGCGGGAACGATCCTACAGTTGCAAATCACAATGGAATTTCTTTGCTAACTCTTTCTTTGACTAACTCTTTCCCTCACTAACTCTTTCTTTGACTGACTCTTTCCCTCACTAACTCTTTCTTTGACTAACTCTTTCCCTGACTAACTCTTTCTTTGACTAACTCTTTATGTGCCTAACTGTTTCTTTGACTAACTCTTTCTTTGACTAACTCTTTCTTTGACTAACTCTTTCCCTCACTAACTCTTTCTTTCCCTCACTGACTCTTTCTTTGACTAACTCTTTCCCTACTCTTTCCCTCACTAACTCTTTCTTTGACTGACTCTTTCCCTCACTAACTCTTTCTTTTCTTTGAACTATCTTTCTTTGACTAACTCTTTCCCCACTAACGACTCTTCCTGACGAGGGCCTCTTTCTTTGCTACCCGGTGACAGGCCCCCTCCCGGGGACACCTCGTTCTGACTCACTCTTTGCCCTGACATTTAAAAGTCCGTACACGAAGTTTTTTCTTCTTCCTCCCCTCTCTTTCTTCTTCTTCTTTCTTCTCTCTTCCTCCCCCTAAACTCCTTTGATAATGTTTTGGACCAGATCTATTTAAACTATAATTTCATATCTTTTATTCTCCATGCTATTGCCATTTTCCATGGTGTCTCCCTGGTTTCAGACGGTTTCCCAGGCTCCGAGCGATGCAGTGAAGAAGATGGGCCAAGTGCTGCAGGCTCTGGGTGCCAACTGTCTACAGGAGCACAGCCTGCCACATCTGGAGTTCCAACTGGGTCCTTCGGCGCGACGGTGTACAACATGCGATGTATGTTTCAAGGGGATTCAACGGAACCCCCCATAGTTGGTGCAGATTTAGCCTTGTTTACGGTTGTTGGTGATAGGGCCCTTTCTAGGCTATTTTATCGGTTCAGCGTTGTTGGGGATTAATCAACCCTTAAGCCCTTATTGTTGGGGGAGGTATCTTGAGTGGAGGGGTTGGTTGAGTTGCACAATATGTCACTATGCGACGAACAAAAGCGAACAGAGAAATATGGCTGTGATCAAAAGCACGTTTCCCCGTTGTTTTTTGTAGAAGAAACCCTTCTCTTTTCGAATCATTGGAATGAGAGTTCTTGGATGTTTCATGATGCCTTCAGATTCTGATGATGATTTTCCTGTGATTTTCAGGTGGCGAAACGTTATCCTTGCCTCCCGCGGCCTTCATCGGCTTCGTGAAGGGCATCATGCCCGCGCCATGGAGGTTGCGCTTTCATCAGGAGCCATTTATCCAGGTGGGAAGTCATGACTCAACCGTTCACAAGCGAGTGGATTGGGTAGTTTTTTCTACAAATGGAGGAGCATACTAGTTAAAAATTTGAGCTTTTTTTGGTAAGCTATCTAAGACTGGCCATGGGCACTTGGGAAACTTCTGACTTTGTCTGGGGAACAAGTGGAGATGGGTGTGGGTCAAGTCATTGAGGTTGTTTGGATCCACCGACTCAGTGATTTTTGTATAAAACCAACCATTGGGTGTCAAAGTTTGAGCCACGCATATATCTGCGGATGGGGGTAACCCCCAACCGAAAGTTTGACAAGCTCATGACCTGGCAAAAGGAAGTTTGTTTCATTCAGTTCGCACCCTAAGATACAGGTTGAAGATACGGCCACGCCTCAAAATGATTAGGGGCCAATGATTGGATGGTTTAGTTTGTCTAGTTTTGGAAATGAACGCAAGAAACGCTTCAGCCATACATCACTTTATATGATATCTGATATATGATATGTATGTATCATCATCTCTATGCAAATACAAATATATATATATATGTATTATGTCCCCGTATTATCCACACTTCAGCAAGAACCCCTGGCTTCGTGGTTTCTTCCGTTCGTCCCAGGTGGAGGACTGCGAGCTGCTCATGATGGACACTGGAAAGATGACATCCACCGAACATGGTCCCCTTTGGATCATCGGTCTCTCAGCTGGTGGTGGTTTTTCAATCGGATATTCTCATATGATATATATATATAATTAATGAGGATTAATGATCAGAATGTTTATGTATTGTATATATAATCAATAGGATGCGTTTAATTTTTGTGATGATACAATGAGTAGAGAAGATATAATTCTCTATCAACCAACCGGTAGAATGGGATGAGTTATTGAGATTTAACGATGTTTGATGGGTATAAATACCACAATACGATGGCTTCTCTGAAAATGGGTGATGGAGACTGGCATTGATTCCAATCACCATCCCTTCAAGAATCCAAGAAATGGCTACCCAATGATTTTTATTGGGATATGAATGGGATATTTTTTCCCATGGTCTGAGGCATGCCCTTTTTCCGGCACTTTTACACCACCTTCGACTATGGCAGCTCCGATCACGAGACTTCCATTTGGGTGGCCGAAGCCAGTCCCGATTGCCAGCCGCAAGAAACGACAACCAACCTGCTACAGGTCGCAGGTACATCGCTGTTGCGGGTGGATCAGAGCAAATTGCGGCTGCCTGGATGGTTGGTGAATGGAAAGACCATGCCATTTTAGCTTGTGACATAGTTGCTTACCATTGAGCTGACAGATCTGCAAATGCAGAGCTGCAGACTGCAAACGAAAATTGTGCTCAGAACAGCTTTGATTTTTGGATGCTGGTGATTTGACCAAGCTCCACCACTCGACTGAAGGCTTCACAGGCCTGAGAAACGGCAATGGACAGATGTTGAAAAAGTGTGAGGAACGGACCTGGTGGTTTCGTCCATTCTGATATTGACTTTTTGGGGTCTAAACATGTTGTGACACCATAATTTTGGTAGGGGTGGCCCGAGAAGTTGTTGCATTTGGACACCCAGGCAACTGGAGAAGGTTTTGTGATCCACGCAACTGTGGCCAACAAAACTCCGATATCGGTGATCGCATGGGGATTTTCCATGGGGATCCCGGGCATCCTCTCAGTTCTCAGGAAGCTCTTGGATTTGCACCCGTTCCCTGGCATCGATCTGGACTTGGATTGCCCCGATAGTGCGTAAGGTTCGATAGTGCAGATAAAGAGGCTCAGCTATTCAACTTACACTGATTGCCCAGCTTAAAGCATCCTTTGTTTTCAAAGGAAACATCAAGTGGTCTCTCGAACTTTGAAACTGTGGCAGAAAACTGGCTCTCCAGTTCCACCAGGGAAAGTATGTAGAAATCAGCTATCCACCGGTGAGCAGGTTGGAGCGTTCCAGCCACATGGACAAGATGGACACCCAGTCCTTGTTCAAGGCCTACAAACATAAATCTTTTGGGCAGCCCGACTGCACTCACTAAGTGCGTCCTGGCGCTTATTCCCTTCAGGTAGCAATGGAAAAATCGGGGAATCGTCAATGTGGTCAACGTATGGATGGGTATGGTTCATGATTTTGGATTTACATGGATTTACTTGATCACTACTGTTGAAGTTTGGGATTTCCAGCTATGTCCCTGCAACGACCCCAGGCATCGGAACTTGAATCGACAGCCACGGTGGCATGAAGCAGAACGACGGCACCTTGTCAAAGATCAACTGTGCGCCCTCTGCTTGTAATTCTGGAACAGCACTAGTATGAAGTCAACTGACCATGTGTGGCCTTCAAAGATAAGAGGGAAATGATGGGTCCTTTTTCCAGAGCTTTGCAACTGAGATGATTTATAGGTCAACTCGAATTAGCTTTCTGAGGATTACTTGTTTGAAAGTGCCATTTTCCCTCCCAGCGGAGTCTAGATCACTCCGGTACTTGCTCCTGAGGATGGATTTGAAACTCACCAGATAGGCATATCTATGTTTTACCTCTGCAAAGAAGAACCTGCCATGATTTTTTAAATATCAGAATATATATCACAGAGATGATTGCATGAGTGTCAGTTCTTTATAGTTCTTTATATACATTTAAATGATATATATATAATGTACATACACATATACATACATACATATACATACATATACATTCATATACATACATATACATGCATATACATGCATATACGTACATATGCATACATATACATACATATACATACATACATATACATACATATACATACATATACATACATATACATACATATACATACATATACATACATATACATACATACATATACATACATATACATACATATACATACACACATACATATATACATACATACACATACATACACATACATATACATACATGTATATACATGTACATACATATACATATACATATACATTTACATATACATATACAAATACATATACATATACATACACATACACATACATACATACATATACATACATACATACATACATACATACATATACATACATTTACATACATACATACATACTTACATACTTACATACATACTTACATACTTACATACTTACATACATACATACATACAAACATACAAACATACAAACATACAAACATACATATACATGGATATGATTCTGGGTGATGTAATTTGAAAGATGATACCCCATGCAGTGCTGAAAGCTGGCCTGGACGAGGTGCGAGTTCCATGGCTATCAAGAGACCTTGCGGCGGCGAAGAGATCTCCGGCACCTCGGAACGGCTCAGTAGGAAAGGGATCCAGATGCGAACCGTGGGACCCTACCACGTTTTCTCGTACGAAGTATTTCTATACATATAGATGTATGTGTATTCTTGTACATGATATACATGATATATCATACACCATTTTGTTTCAGTGTTTGATATGTGTGTAACTCCCAACAGATAGAGAGGAAGAACCATCCAGCACCGACCTGACGTTCCCAGGAAGCAGTTTCGTGAAGATCGGCAAGGCATCAAGATGGAGCCTCAGCTGCAGCCAGGCTATGACACATGAGATTTTTTTGCAAAGGTTGCTAAAAGTTCCGTTACCCCTTGAGGTATGACTTCATTGGTTTATACATGTTTAACGTTTATACCGTTCCTTCTCCCTTGAGTTTACCTGCATTTCGGGTCAATACTACACCAATGTCGAACGTACTTTCTTCAACAAAGCTCCTATCTTAACCGACAGCGACATTGCTTTCCTTAACTCCAAGTGTGCTGACAGGAGCAAAAGAGGGAGCTCGTACAAGGAATTCAACCGTTGCTTGGTCAGTCTATGGATTCGTTCCCAGAGTTTTCAGATCCAAGAAAGCCAAGGCAGGCAATTGTTTTCAAACATCGCAGATCAATGGTGAGGTTAGAATCCTTCTCCGGTTTTCGAGAGCAGGAGCAGCGGAACATGGAGGTGCGCGACTGCGCGACCAGCAATGCTCAGATGTTTTTTCAGCATTGGGGCCATCGTGCTCCTTGGATTCACGATAATTGCTAGTTTTTGAATGTTTTTGATACGGATTTCCTGCCAAGTTGGACTTTCCCTTTGCATTGCATTTAAATTGCCTGTGTGTTGGCCAGACTTTTTGAAACTGTTGGTGGATTGTGTTCCATGGAGCTCAGAAGTTGCCTAGTAAATCACATGCTTTGGAGATGAGCTGTGACCCAACAAAGGTAAAATGTCGCAGCGGCCGATGATATTGTCATCTGTCCCTGCTTTAATTGATCATAACCAACCAGCTTCTCGTTAGTTTTAAAGAAAAGTGTGTTTCGGAGTTGTTGAACAAATCCTGCTCACATATCCTCATGTAAGTGCAGCCATACCAATGGCTTTTGGTTTCTACATAGTTTTTAAAAAAATACGGCTGAAGCGTGCCAAGATTTGATGACTTATCATGATTTTGCCTGTTAACATGGCCATCACGCCTATCCTCCATTGTCAAACAAGCCCACATCATATTGTTGGTAGTACCCCTCTTATCGCCCATTCATTGCTGGGTATTTAGTTAAATGCCCATTCAATAACTCATCCCATTACTGGTTGGTAAATAGGCATCCCGCCATAAAACATCCATATATCATCCCCATTATACAACATAATCATGATATATAATCCATCAAATCCCCATTTGATATATCATAATGATTGTACAGGTTCTTATCATATGCTGAGGCTAGCTCAAAATGATGTAGCCATGGTGAAATCACCTGCCAGGTGCACCGGCAAAGGATCCAAGATGCCATCCGTGGCTGTTCTCGGGCGCGCTACAACTTGGTGGAGCCTTTGATGGGAGGTTTTCTTATGAAAATCTATGGGGTCTTGGTGAAAAATCTGGGTTTGGATTTATCTATATAAATGCCTTTGGGTTTTCAATATGGGGTTTTGAGTGGGTGTTGATCTGGGTTTGTATGCGGGTTATTGTGGTATATGGGCTTTTCTATGGATGTGGAACGGTTTCCATGTTGTTGATATGGGGGACTCCAAGAGAGGGTAAAATCCCATACTAATACCAATTCCAGCAGCATTCGTCAAAGTGGTGCCCTGAAGTTAGCTAAGGTATGAGTAGGTTAACTGTTCGGTTCTCAGGGAGATATATCAGATATTGGATGGATGAAACCAAACTACACCAAGTTGAAACTATGGGGCACCACTTTGTATGATTTGTTGGGAAGGAAACCACGGATTTGGGCAATGAAGAAACCATAGCTTGTTGTTGAGAACTTAATAGATGATGTGTTTGATATGTTTGATATTCAGCAAAAAACTTCAACAAATCATGCGCAGATCTTTTGAATCTGACAGAAGTGAAAGAAATGGGATACCAAATGATCCCAAAACAAAGGCGAACATTTCCAGGGTCGGAATAGGGGGGAAATCCGAAGAAAGGTTTCTTGTTTTGATGTGGGAACACTCTTATTTCTGCTGATAGAATCAGGTGATATCCAGGACAGTTGACAGCTCCTGAAACCGCGGCCATCAGCCAAGGAAATTCAAAAGCAAATGGCAGGCGGACTTGGGGACTCGGATGTGAAAGGAAAAAGCAGATGCATTTTTTGTGGTACTTGGTAAGTTTTGGTGTCCACCCGAATCTAAATTTAATCAATTCACTGCCAGATTTTCCTTCTGGGTCAGGCTCAAAATGTGAGGCATGCACACTTTAAGCGATCAAACAAGGTCATGCGTGGCCAACTTTGAGCAAAACATTGCACTCGAAAGTTGCGTTCAAATCTGCGCTCAGATTTGGTTGCAGACCACGATGAGGAGAGAGAGGTCAGAGTCTCTGCCGGAGTTGTCGATCATTCCATAGGTTCAAACACTGGTTGGTGATTAAATTTCTATTTACATCCTTACCTGTGATGCTGCTCGCTCCTGGCTAATGACTTGTTCAGATGAGTTCAAATGACCAGAGAACTGAGTGAGGTGTGTCTTATGCACGACCGTTGATGCCTGTTGATTTCGGAACAGCTTTCGCTTTCCAGCCGCAGGTGACTTTTGCCTTCAAGGATCTCTTCAGAAACAACGTCGCCAGGCCTGGGTCTTACGGTACGATTAGATCGGCTTCATCTCAACTTATATACATCTTTCCAGCGATTTCCAATCTGATAAATGTGATCATCTGATTTGGAAGTTGTTATTCAATTTGTTCTTCGCATGACTTTCATCTTAAAGAAGTGAGATTTTGCTGCTGGGTCAAATGTTCATGAAATTGTCACGCCCCAAAAAGGTTCCATCACCACGGGTCCTCTCTTCTGTAAATGTTGATTTTTTTG